GAAAAAAAGTATCCTAATCCTGAATGTATTAGTATTGCATCTATTCTGGAATTTGAAATGTGGCCTGTAATCCTTACTTCCTACAGTGGTATTAAGCATGATGTTACACAGTTAGTATATATGCCTTATTTTTAGGTTCTGATTGTGAAGGCTTTTCAAAGCTTTCACATTCTTTATTTCAGAAATTGCTTGCTGTTATCCAGCATTCCCAACACTGTATGATTTCAGGAATATCTTCAGTCAATCTTTTTAAGATGATTGAGAGGAGATGGAATGATCATTTGTGTCCAATACTGAGGCTATTAAAGTTACACATAGATCTTAAGGATTTTAAAAAAGCGATGGATTCAGCCAATAACAAGATAGCGTTGTTTCAGTTTCATGAAGCACTTCTTCTTAACTTTGTTAATTATTTAGATAAAGGGTTACAGAAAGATTTTGAAGGTATTAATTTTAATCTAAATGTGGACTGATTTGTCATTGTGTTTTACTTTTATAGTTTGTGAAATATCACCACTTGTTATTGATGGTATGCGTATCAATGAGTTATGTGTTGAAGATGGGGAAAAATGTTGGAAGTATCCTTCTTTGGAAGTTGCTGATCCTGTCAAACCACTGTTAATACCTTGTGCCATAATGACTTGTGAAGAGCTTAAGAATGATATTTTTCACCAGCAATGCAAGGTTCAAGTTAGACAATTGAACAGTTCAGACACTTGGTCTCAAATTGCTAATGCTGTGGAAGCTGCTTTTGAATCCTGCACTTGTATTCTAATAAAACTGAGAGATGAAACAATTAGTCTTCATGAGATTGACACTTTGTTTCGTAATAAATCCTATGGTGTCATTGTTTCCATGTTAAGTCGCCTAGAAAATGCTCTCATGTTATCAAAAGTTTCAAAAAATTCTTTGGAAGCTGCCTTGGCTTTCTCATTTCAAAAGCCATGCAGTTTGTCCAGATTTTTTACAAAATCTATAAAAACTACACCTGCATCTTGGATCAATGAAGTTGCCAGCAGCATTGCTTTGTGGAAAGGTGTGTCTCCCTTATTGACAGAAGCAAAAAATTTTTTAGACATACTCCATTATTTTGAAGTTGAACCTGATGAATTCCTTGCATTCTCTGAAATTGTTAGTGTAAATTTACCCAAATTTGAATGCGTTTAATATTGCAATGATATAGGATCTTGAAACTACTGAAATTAAATCTGTTGCAAGAAGAAAAGAAATTTTAGAGTTCATGAAAAAAACTAATGAGCAAACAAGGGAAGTTAAAGATTCTATAAGAATGTTTGCTGAAAACAAGGAGCTTCGAGATTGGATTTTGTCTAAAAGTGAAGGTATATAATATGGCACAGTAATTGCAAACTACTAAACCTAATGTTTATGCAAGTGTACAATTATTATGATGTTTACCGTATAGGACACCTTTTTTAGGGCTGTAAATTTCACAAATTTGCCTAAAAATCTGTTTTGTGGATTTAATTTTCACAAATTTATGCCTTTTGTCATCTTTTACCTTAATAATTTGATTTTTGTAGAAGTAATTTTTGCGAATCTTCAAAAAGTTGCAAAATTTGCAAAATTTACGGCTCTTGAAAAAAAGGGGCCCTACAGTATTTACATTATTGTGAACAAATGTAGTAACGAAAGCTATTTTTCCAGATTTAAATGCAATGGAGACATTCATTGGAGTAGTATTAGACACATTGGCTGAAGGAGGAGATGAAATACAGGATAAATTAACAAATTTATCAGAGTTGTGTAGCAAATTTTCGTCTTTGATTTACCACTTTGATCAAACTAAAACTATAAGTTTGAAGAAAGTTTTTGAAGATACTTACAAGAAGCTATCTGATTTAGATGACCCTGTTGCTTTAGTTGTAAGTTCGTATTAGTTAATTAATAATGGTAATATGTTCTTAATTACGTAGGAAAATTGCACTAATGATTTTGAATGGTACAAGAGGATTGGAGAACTGCAGGGATCGATAGAGCAAGGAGCTGTGACTCAAATGAGAAACATTAATCAACATGGTTCTTATAGTATTCAGTCTATAGGAGACTCTCATGAATGCAAAGTAGAATTGAGCATAGTTTGGGATAAGGAGCATTTAACATTATCAATTGATGATCTGAATGAACTTGAAAGTAAACTTGTTCTTATTACAAGGAAGAACTCGGCATGGGCTGATGAAAAAGAGCTGTTTCAAGAAGTTAGTATATAAGTAATGAATATAATTGATTGTGATATTAATAGATGCTGAAGAGAATTATTCTCATTTCTGAATCTGTTCAGAAGCTAAAGGATTTTGGCCACTTAGTATACCTTGACTGGGGGAAGAAATATCACTGCTCTGAATACATACGAGATTTAGGAAGCCTGGACCAGGAAATCTGTACTTTAGAAAGCATTTTAGTTGGTTGGATATATAATGTATGGAGCTGTCGCTATCAGTTTCCTGAATTGAATTATTACACGACAGAGCAACTAATTGTTCTTAGAAAAGAGCTGACATTGACAAAAAATGATCCATCAAAAGAAGTGAATCCTCAGGTTTTTTATCTTCTTCATAGTGTAGTTGGGGAACCAGTTGATTCTACTATGCTTTTAAAGAAAGGACTGAAGTGCGATGAAAAGTCTAGTATTGTTAATGAAAATGATGAGGAGGATAGTACATCTTCGTCATCAATTGAAGTTGGTCAGTCAGCTGATTCTCTCCTTTCAGCAGATGATGCAGTGAGTCTAAATGCATCTGACACTGAAAGCATATCTGTATTACAAGAAGCTATTGATAATCTTAATGAGGAAGAGACAGAAGTATACAATGAATTGGTCGGCTGTGGGTACGATGATTACATGAGTGTTGAAGCAGCAATACTGCACAATGACATATATAATGCAATGGAGTGGTGTGATAAATTAGATGAAAAGGAAGAGGAAACATTTCGAAATAAATATTTTTCAATAAAAACTACTGCTACATCTACCAATAGCATTTCAGTTTCTCAGGACTGTTCGTTGACAGTTTCCGAACAAAACCCAATTAAAATATCAGTTCTGCCCGATTTTGCTCATTTTGATGTTACTGCTATTGTATCAATGTTTATAAGCAGTGACATTCATTCTGCCTGGTAAGTAAAGTGTATATTTTAATAATATTATAAATACTTCAGCAATGTACTAATGGATGACAAAAATATGATGTCACTCAATGATCTTGGAGATTTTCTCAGGACTATCACGGAACTGAGAGGTATAGCAGCTAATTATCTAGCTATTATCATAATTTTATATTTGTAAATGAAAGAACGAAAACAAATCAAGAGAATTTTTTCAGAGAATATTTTTGAAAAGGGTCACCCAAATCTTATTATAACACCAGCAGGTTAGAGTTTTGATAGCAAATGATTATTATTTTATTTTCATTATTAAGATGAAATATTCAATTGTGTCATTCAAATATATGCCGAAGATGAAGATGCTCCATTGCCCTGCTATGAAGAAATCCTTTTGTGCTCTTCAAGCACAACCCTTGAACAAGTAAGAAAACTTGAATGCTGATAATGCATTTATATTTTTAATACAAAGGTAGTAGTTTTTTGGATGAGAGCTTTGTTTGATCAAAATTTAGGAAGAATTTATTGTTTAGTTCATGCTGAAAAACTTAGCTATTTGGTAGCTGACAAAGCAATTGATTTGCTGTCATGTCTTTCTCAAGGAATAACTAGTAAAATATTGTGTATAAGCTTCAGTATTTAACTGTTTTTGCAGATTACAGGTTAGTTATTGTGTGCAGCAATGAATCAGAAGGAAAGTCACATATTTTAACACGTCTAAATTCCTTTCATCGTAATTGGGAAAAAAGTGATGATTCTGATATCCTAAAAAGATATTTAAAAAAACACTTAATACCAAAAACCAATGACAAGAATATCAATGCCTCCATCATTGATGAAGAAAAGTACAAAATTATTGTTTTTTCAATTATGTCTAATCATTATACATGTAGGTGTCTTGTTCGCATCATTTATTCAAAGCAAGCTGCTGCTGGCAAATCGCTTCATATTCGTAAAATGAAGGATAGGCTTAATGCAGTATTGAAGGAGAGAGACTTATTGATTAGCAAGAAAAAGCCAAAGGTGATGCTATCTATTCCTCTACATGGGCCTGATGTTACTCCTGATGAAGTACTGAAGATGCTTTTGGCTGAGAGAAATGTTTTGAAATCTTGCATCATTCATATTGACGTGCCTCAACAAGTAATATTTTGCTATGGTATTTTTGGCATTTTAAAATTTTTTTCTTTAGGTTCTTCACAGTATTGATGACATTTTGTTTAGTATAATAATTCTTCAAGGTCTGAGTGACAGTAGAGGACAAATCTGGAGGTGTCGTTCCACTCATTTTTATGCCATAGAAATGACAATACCTAGCGAAGCAGTATGTAATTAGGACAATTCTTTTTGATAATTTATTTTAATATAGAGTTACATCAGAAAATTTACTGAAGCAAGAAGAGCATTGTCATTGCTTCATCTTGTCCCAAATAAAGAATGCTACCAGCCATTAGAAATGATAGGAAACATAGGTATGATACTACCGTAGATCGGGAAATTTTTGTTGTTAAAATATTTTCGTGGTTGAAGTGACCCATGAAATTTTGACACACGAAATATTTTCTACAGTGAATAATCAGATTACCAAAATTAGTCTATTCTAACGTGCAGTAGTGCATGCACGGCTGGCACGGGGCTCTTCTTAAAGCCCAATGAAGGCTTGAAGCTCTCACCCAAGAGGCTCCTTGCCAGTTTCAGTGCTGTCACGAGCAACTTCCATCGAATAGCAGTCCACCATTGTCAAGAGTTAGTAGCCACGTGTCCCATTTATAATGCATCTAAAATTTTTTGTGTTAAAAAAATTTCCTAGATGGGTCAACCAACGAAAATAAAACACCTTGAAAAAATTTCACACCAATTATTTTTAACACAAAAATTTCCCAATCTACGGTAATTTACATTTTTTTTCACTGAAATACTTTCACCAAAAAAATTCTTCAGTCTGATTTTGGTTTCAGTTAGTATTATTGAAGAATTAAAATTAGAGTAACTGGGGGCTATTCCGATCCATTTCTGCACTATGATCTAATTAAATATTCACGAAGTCACAACTCACTCTTCTTTGCTTTATTTCATTCATTTTATTGGTCAATGAGTTCTATTTTGTCTATTCTATTTGTTCTTTCTTGAAATCAGTGAAATTCAGCTTAAAGTTTTGATGAAAACAGTACTTTCCCTGACCTAGTTGTTGGGGGCTATTCTGACCCTCCGGATACTAACTAGTATACAGGACATTTATGCAGTGACCGGAGATATACAAACACTATCACTAGATGATAATATGTGAAAAAAGCTTATAAACACAATTTTTAGCCAGAGCTGCTTAGCCGCATTTTATAAAGATCAAGCTGTTTTTTGGTGCTGGTAGTTAGAGAATCTTATGCAGAATAGACATGTCCTTGCTTCAGTCCTGTATCTGCTATAGTTAAGAAGTTATAAAAGGAGAAAGAGGACTGTTTAACCAGGGCTATTCCGACCGCTGCACATAGATTTTACATTGGTTTATAGTACAGGGGACGCAATAGCCCCGCCCCAACTTACTCTGTCTTTACAAATAAAAGATGCATTGGCAAAAGTTGTGAAAATATTTCATCATTAAAATAACTTAGTGTACCACAGCTGTTTTGATTGTTTTGCTATACTTTTTTGTTTTACTTGTTCTGATTAAGACAAAGGTGATCTCACTGATTTACGTTCGCCAATGTATCAAAGAGTTTATAAGTATTTAAAGCTCTTTGAATCAAGGAAGTATCAAGAACTTGAAAAATTTCAGTACATTGGTACCCTAGAGGATACTGATAGACTATGTTTAGAAACTGTAATAAAGTAAGTATTTCTTGTTTTGTTTTGTTTAAAATGTTTCTGTAATAGGCATTGTGGTACTACAAATCCAACATGGAAAGAAATACGTCATTTTGTTTGGTTTTTGAACCATCAACTTAGTGCTTGTGAGCAGTCTAACGTAATTCGAACTGTCAAAGGACTGAAGGAATTTACTGTCAAGTTTATGATTGATATGTCACGGGTAAATAGCATGTAATAATAAAATGTCACTTTTACTTATTTGTAGGATTTTGCAACATCATCAATGCCTAATAGAGAGGGAAATGAAGACATAATCAAACAGCACAATCCAAGGCAGAATTGGGAACACAGGTATAAAATTAGGGTTTCCCACAAAGTACATGTATGCTAAGTGAGCTAATCAGCATGCTTCATGAGCTGACAAGCACTACAGTATGTATACAATACAGTACATTGCATTTGGAGCAACTTTGAAATTCATAGAAGTCAATTTTTGATTGGAATCAGCTCAAAATTTTTATGTGCATCAGAAAAATTGTAAACATAGAAAATTCTCTCTTAACCATTTTTGACAAAATTTGACCAAAGTCACTATGCTAAAGATGAAAAAAGGTGGCTGAACAAAACAGCCATTTTCCCGATTTTTGAGTTTCCTCTTAGACAAAGTCTAGTAGTACCATTGGACTCCTCTGGTCAAGGTAAGGTCCTATAAAAAGTCTGGTAAGCATAGGAGCTTGTTTTCCCAGTATAGCAAGGCTGCAAAAATTGTGGCTGCCATTTTGAAGTGGGGTGAATCCTATTATAATTAGTAACACTACCGTGCTGTTAATAGTGCAGGGTGTTTTGTTTGGCCCGATTTTTAGCAACTTTGAAAACTTCATTATCAAATCCAGATTTGATTGTAATCAGCTCGAAGTTGATACACATACAACATTATACATGTACATGTAGTTCTCTTCTAGCCATTTTTGTCATTGGTGCAATTTTGAGCAACTTTAAAGTTTTTTAAAATTATCTCTATCGGCTCAAATTTTCTACTCAATTTAAAAACATGTATATTTATCAAAAAATTATAAAATAAATAATTCTCTCCATATAATTTTTGTCAAAATACTCTGTACTGTTGTGTAGTACTGGGTCTTGGCTCAATTTTTGACCAACTTGACAATCCATGCACTGACAAGCTGCACGAGCATTTTGCCAAAATCTCATAGGAAACCCTGTATGAAATATTTATTATAATACCTATTTTTCACTTTAGCCTTCATCCTTACTTATTCTTCAATAAGAACAGAAAGTCAGTCACACATGTTGGACTGGCACTAAATGGATTAGAAGTTGTAAATTTTTGTGAATCCAAGTTTTCTATGAAAATATCTCCGGAAGTTGAACGATTCTTGTCACTAAAAGTGAATGTTCCCAAATTTTCTCAGCAGAAGATAAGAAATGTATCTCATGGGTTAGTGTAAATAATATGGTAATCATCTAAAGTATATTTTTTCTATAGGAGTGATAATGAAGGCTATACACTGCTAAAACGTTTAGTAAATTTTATGAATATTTCAATTGAAGATGGGGTTGAAATTATATCTCCAGATGAAAATTATGTTCTCACACAAGATAACTTAACCAAGATTATGGGTATTCAAACTCGATTTAGGTATGTCTTTGATCTTTTAAAATCAGTTACTTACTTATAACCATGTATAATGATTTGACATCGCAACTATGTGTTTGAAATTTTCTGAGCAAAGCAAAATTTATTTTATAATAATTTTATTTTATTTCAATGATACTTTGAATAAAATACCATGAAATCCCCTAGGTGTCAAATTCCAGTTGTATTAATGGGAGAAACTGGTTGTGGAAAAACTCATCTCATTCGCTTTATGTGTAAAGTGGCAGCTTATGACAAAAATATTAAGAACATGTTTATTATAAAGGTGATGTTCGAGTGCCATACATAATATGATTGTATTACAGATTCATGGAGGTACAACAGAAAATGATGTGATAAAATGTTTAACAGAGGCTGAATCTGAAGCATTAAAAAAGAACAGAAAGGTGAAAGTTGATACTGTAGTGTTCTTTGACGAAGCTAACACTAGCAATGTTATCAGTTTGATTAAAGAGATCATGTGTGATGGAAAATGCAGGGGCAAACCAGTACCACCTTTTTTAAAGTTTGTAGCAGCTTGCAATCCTTATAGACGGTATGTAACTAATGTCCTTTTTATATATAATACAATCATTATAATTGTAGTCATACAAAAGCCATGATAAAACAATTAAAAGGTGCTGGCCTTGGATGGAGAGATAAAGAACCTTCAAAAGCAACTGAAAAACTAGGTAAGTTACTAAAACAAGTAGTAGTAATAGTAGTCTCACTCTACCCCTTCGCTTACCTGCAGAGGAAGGGTTTGGAGACACTACTATCTAAAATGTGTACATTCATGCCAGAGAATTGGCATCCCAATCAGATTGCTCGACTCATGTGTAGGACAAGCAGTCACATGACCAAAGAGCTCTGTTTAAGACAAAAGAGGAGGAATGAGGAATAAATAAAGGAGGGAGTCTGCAATGCCTCCTGGACTTCTTTCTCAAGGTTTAAGAGCAGCATTACTGTGCTGCTTACTACAGCGACGCCATTGCACTGATGACGTAATAATACTATCACGTGTTTACAATCAAACATCATCATCAATAAAAAGTAAACACTGCGGCACTCTGTGAAGAGTTGCAGCTCTCAAATCTGCAAGAGATGTCCAAGAGACTCTATCCTCAACTGTTCTTAGCTGCAAAGCATCTGTTTTAGCTATTTTGACCAATCTGGTCTCCTCTGTCACATGATGTAGGTCAACCACGTGTTCTTCTTTACACACATTTTAGATAGCAGTGTCTCCAGACCCTTCCTCCACAGGTAGTGAAGGGGTGGGGTGAGACTGTAGTGATAATTAACTGTCTCTAAAATAATATTGTATTGTAGGGGAAATACCATTAAGAGACTTGGTTTATAGAGTACTACAAATTCCTGATAGTTTAAAAGCACTAGTGTATGATTTTGGAAAATTGGATAGTGACACTGAAAAAGACTATATTTATCAAATTGTTCACAACAGACTCAAAGAAGTATGGTTTTATTGCTGTTTTTGTTGTTGTAACTATATGATTATATATGTGTATAAAATAACTAAAGCACATACCATAAGGCGCCTTTTTTAGAGCTATAAATTTTGTGAGTTTTCTGAAAACACAAATGTTGTAGCCTCAACTAATAAAAATTAATTGCAAGGGGGTGTGGTTACATATTTCACGTGGGCATTTTTATAGTAAAAATGGACTTTTTGGACTACTTTCAGCCATTTTCGAATGGTAGGCTTGATGTTCCTTGGCTTTATTCAAACTCTGTTAGTCTTTTGTCAAATCATGTACTTCAGGGAGCAATTGTGTCAGCTAAAAGGGGTGTTAGGAAGTCATGATTTGCAAATTTTACTTTCACTAAAAAAGGAACTTGAAATTCATAGCCCTCAAAAAAAGAACGCCCAACAGTAATACTTTTAGGTGAAGACAACTTAGTTCATCATGGTTAAGCACATGCAGCTACACAATTGATTAAAAGTATTCCTTATTTTTGCCAATTACTCGATTTCTATTCATGCTGTGATGTGGACGCTTTTGTGACTAGAGCCATATTATATGCAATTTTTGAAAGTTAACATGGTTGCAACTTGATTTAATTACTCATATACCATGCACCAGAAAATTCTGAGTAAATTAAAGTTTTGATTGCCATTTGTGAAAATAAAATCCTCCAGTTCACCAAATTAAAACTCATTAGTCATACAATTTGCCAAAATTTAGTCCCTCCTAAATTTTCTGCTGCACAGTAAATAGTCATTTTTATGTGCTATGTATGAGTTAAAGCACGGTTTCCCATGCTGTATGGAAAATACAGCATGAGAAATACAGCATGAGAGGTGTGGTCGAGAAAGCATATAGCACGAGGCGAAGCCGAGTGCTATATTGCTTTCGAGACCACACCTCGAGTGCTGTATTTTCAGTACAGCACAAGGGGAACCTTGATTTTACTAGTTTATGGTCATAGTGCATGGGTGCATCAAAGGCACCAGCCCAAGGCCAAGTGAAGAATAGCCTAAAGAGAACCAAAAGACTGAAAAGAGACGGACTATCTGCTCGTGGAGTCTTCTACCTCATGTTGCTCTTTGTCGGAGGGGGGTCACAGTTTATACAACAGGAAACCACAAACTGTGCTGTATGAACTGGAAGTGTGCTGTATGAGATATACAGCACAGGTGGTGCCTTTGATGCACCCACACTCTATACTATAAGTTGAAATTATTATTGTACATTATTTTTTTAATTAAATGTTGTTGTAGTCATTAATGCCAAAAGCATTCTGTGTGAATAATAATACTTATACTAATAATAATAATGGTTTAATAATTATTGTTTACTTTAGTGAATGAAAATTATAAAACAGGGTAGTAAACTACCATATACCGGTTTATTTTCTCAGTGAAATATTTTCACATATTTTGCTGTTTCTTGCTCCTTTGCAAAATTTTTCGCCACAAAAGTTTGCATTTCTATTGCCACGTGGTACAGTCGGCAAGCTATTTGCAAAAATTAATGCAACAAAATTTTAGAAATGCAAGATTCGCAAAAAAAATTACCGCGAAAATAAACCAGTATACGGTTATATATTTTTGACCATAATTAAAATCTATATGCACCTCCCCCTATACATGACAGATATTGACCCATTTTAGGGTTTCCTACAGGATTTAGGCATAGTAATGCTCGTGCAGCTTCTTGTTAGTGCATTTTAAAGTTGCTCTAGAGTTTCACAAACCATCTAATACATGGTGTTTTTGAATTGCATGGTTAGAGTTTTTCATTTTTATTCATACACGTTAATGTGCTATTTACAAATTTTGATCTGATTCAAATAAAATTAAAATCTTTCTACATTTTTAGAGTTGCTCCAAAATCATCCCAAAGACCCTGTATTGTGGTCTTAGGCCAAGTTTCACCAAAAATGACTAGAAGAGAATTATTCATTTTTATAATTTTTACGTTACTTAAAAAATTTCACTAAAGTCATGCATGGTCTTTAACAAATTTTTCCAGAAATGACTTGAAGAAAATTCTTTCTTTTTAAAAAAATTTTTTGGTGCATAATACATGTACAAGTTTGTATGTTGTGTAGCAAGTTTGAGCTGGTTTTCATCAAAATTAGATTTTTTACAAAAGTGTATTGCTTAATAGTTTCGCCATGCCCCTTCAAGTGAAGAAGCAGAACAAGACTGTTTTTCTTGAATTAAAAATGAAATCATTCAGATGATAAACCTTATTTTTGCTTTACATACATTGTATTTATTGTAGGAAATAAATGAAAAGGAAGTACTTCGCGCTATTGCTCATGTTCTTGCAGAATGTCAAAGATATTTAAAGGACAATAAGGTTTATTTGAAATAGCTTGTTATTTAATTATGATAAAATTATTTAGGATGAATGTAGTTTTGTTAGTCTTCGAGATGTAGAGCGAGCTATGATATTCTTTAAGTTTTTTTACACAAGATTTATTGCTTTATTTCCTGTAAGTTAATTTTTGCAGTAGTTAATTATTACATTTTAACAATTTCTAGACTCAAAAAAAAACTTCAAAAGCAACTGAATCTTTATTATTGGCACTTACAGTGTCATACTTTGCTAGACTTGACTCACAAGATGTTGATAAAGCTAATGCCAGAACAAAATTTGAAGATCATATTATTATATATACCTCGAAATTTAAGTGTTTGTCAGCACATCATGCACGTAATTATAGACCAATGTTATCTCAGTAAGCATCAAGCATTTATGATTGTATTATTATAATTTTTAGGTATCATGATAAGTTACTTGACTGTATGTCTATTGAAGAAAATATAGCAAGGAATGCAGCATTGAAAGAAAACTTGTTTATGATGTTTGTATGCATTCAGTTACGTATTCCACTGTTTCTAGTTGGGAAACCTGGTAGCTCAAAGTCACTAGCAAAGACCATAATTCAAAATTCAATGAGAGGACAAAATTCTAAGAATAAAACTCTGAGACAATTTAATCATGTAAATTTATATGATTCTAGAATACAAGTGACTTCTTCTAATTTTAGGTTCATCTTCATTCCTATCAGTGCAGTGAATTATCAACTGCAGCTAGCATCAAGGATGTATTTCACTCTGCTGTTAAATATCAAGAAAAGAGGAAAAAAAATGACAGTTCTTTTGTATCAGTTGTTGTATTAGATGAGGTTGGATTGGCTGAAGCATCTCCTTATTTACCATTGAAGTCTCTGCATCCACTTTTAGAGGATGGAACAGAAGGAACTGGTAGTACTGACATGGTAAACAATTGATAAGTGTTAAATTTCATACAAGTTATATCTTAGCGTGTCAAAAGAGAAGATCGTGTAGCATTTGTTGGTATATCTAATTGGGCATTGGATCCAGCTAAAATGAATAGAGGAATTTTAGTCAGGAGAAGTGAGCCATCTATTAAAGATCTTATAGACAGTGCAAAGTTTGTTGACTATATTTTTGTTGCAAATTTAATTTTTTTATAAATGTAGAGGAATTTGTTCTGACAAAGGTGCAGAATCACGACTTGCTAGCTACTTTGAGAATCTTGCTCGTGCATATCATGAAATATTTAAAAACCAACCGAGAGAATTTTTTGGTCTTAGAGATTATTATAGGTATATTCTATTCTAATTTTTTTTAATTTTATTTTATAACTGTATATCTAGTCTCATCAAGATGCTCCATTGGATGACAGAGTCAACAGGCACTATTCTTACTATACCTCAACTGAGGCATGCTATCAAACGTAATTTCAGTGGATTTACTGCAACTGAAGGCTTTGATCCGTATAAATGTTTCCTTGAAAGACTTCCAGAACTTAATGAAGTAATTCCAGCAATTTTATCCTCTCCTTTGATGAAACGATTATATAACAATGCTGTTGTGTTGTTGAAGTGTAAAAAATCCAAATCATTTTTAGCAGCAGCATTTAACACCACATTAGAATTGACAAAACAGAGAAATATACCAAGTAAGTAACTCTTCACTATTATAAATGTTCCATTTCCCTTAAGGCCATTTTGTCATTCATTGTGAAAGTCAAGCTGGAAAGAAGAAATTATTTGCTTTTCAAAGTTTGTACTTCTTTGAGTATTTTATAGCAGAATATAGAGGAAAGCTGGTAACTATAATTTTGTAGTTATGTAAAAAGCATCTCTATTTTAGACATTAAAAAAAGGGATGCTGTTACTTTACAGTGAAGGAAATTAAAGGTTATTCGATTTCATCA